CTGATAGGGAAGAGGGTTTCCTTCACCCTTTCGGTGTAGTTTGGTGCAGTGCTTAAAGCCAGCCAGTAGGTATCAGCTAGACCCCACAGAAGAGGAGGAGCACAACCGGCATGACCTTTGTCTCATCAGGATTCAGTTTCAGCTGGTCGAACCCGAACCACTCAACCACAACGGCAAGGTATTGACTCAGATCCCTACAGCATCAGTAGGCAATTTGGGTAAAGGGATATAGAGCAGACAGTCTACTCGAAATCCATGAATGATTCTCCTAAGGGCTTTACGTATAGACTAAATAACATGGACTGAACAGATTGAGCCCTGAGGAACCCCGTGAGACCGGGTCTGTACTGATGAAAGGTAGTGTCTGACAGCAACCCTCTGGGACTTGCCCATTAGGAACAACCAAAACCAGTCCAAGGCAGAATCCATTTTGTCCCCACTTCTACCTCCAGACGACTCAATAAGATTGCATGGCCCACGATGCTGAATGCTGCTGCTGACAGATTAAGACTAGCAAAGAGTCACAGGGCCCTTGTCCACATTCAAATGGAGATCACTTAAGAAAATCAGAAGAGTTCCGCTGGATCAGACCAGTGGTTCATCTAGTCCAGCATCCTGTCTCACAGAGTGGCCAAGCAGTTCCTCTGGAGGGCCAACAGCAGGGCAGAGAGGCTAAGGCCTTCCCCTGAGAAGAACATCAGAAGAGCCTAGCTGGATCAGACCAGTGGTCCGTCGTGTCCCACACAGTGGCCAACTAGTTCCTCTGGAGGAGGACAGACTTGACTAAAGCCACGAGCCACCAGCACTGTCTCTCTCCCACAGCCCAGTCTGGAGCTGGACTGAAAGAGGGCAAGGGCAAAGAAGCCATCCAAGAAGTCCTGCCTTTGTTCTGCCACAACGCTCTCTGTCATCTTCCCAAGGAAAGGCAGAGTACTAGGTCGTAATCGGCCACATTGAGAGCCAGTTTGGTGTAGTGGTTAAGTGCGCGGACTCTAATCTGGGAGAACCAGTTTGATTCCCCACTCCTCCACTTGCACCTGCTGATGTGACCTTGGATCAGTCACAAGCTCTGGCACAGCTGTTCCTGAAAGAGCAGTTTGTGGGAAAGGAGTTTGTAAGCCGCTCTGAGACTCCAAGTGAAGGGCGGGGTATAAATCCAATCTCTTCTTCTTCTTCTCTTCACATCATATTTCTCCAGCCAGGGTTTTTTTTAAGTAGTGGATGGAAGACCACAGAAAAAGTGTGAAAAAGAAAGCCGTTCCCAATGGAACAAAGCAATATCCAATGACTGTGGCGTCAAAGAAAAAGCCGAGAAGCAGTGAAGGGTTAAATTCAGAGACTCACCTTTGCTTCTAGGATTCTCTTCCGAGTCTTCAATTCGGCAACTGCTTTGTCTACATCCACCTGGGGAGCCTTCTCTTCCTTCAGCTTCCGGACAAGTTCTCCCTAGAGAGACAGCAAAATTAGTTCAGATACAGATTTAGTTCTCGGAGGAGGAAAGTTAAACATGTGGAAAAGAAAACTAGGAGAAAGCACGCCATACCCCTGCCATCTTGAAATTTTTGACAGAGCCACAATGTGAAGCAAGGGCACTGGTGGGACCTCCTGATGGCACCTGGAATTTTTGGCCACTGTGTGACACGGAGTGTTGAACTGGATGGGCCATTGGCCTGATCCAACATTGGCTTCTCTCATGTTCTTAATACATCCTAAGGATTACACCAATTTAAAAAGACTGTCAGGTCGAATCTGCATTTGCATTTTTAAATTAGTTTCATGCTGCTGTGACGCCGTCTTTCTCTATGCTTGTTCGAATGTTGTTTGGAGAAGATTCTTTTAAAGCCGTGCAGAGGTGCAATGACAGTGGAGCCACCCCAAAGGACGATAAACATATGTGGAGGTTAGGGCTGCCAAATCCCCCCGGGGGGCGGATTTCCC